TGGAACGGGAGCTCGTTCCTCCCGGGGCGTTCGGGGACATCTATAGTTTCTGGCGACTCTGCTGGGGAGTTAGAGAACTTGACTCGAACTCATGATATCTTGTTTTGATTACACTTATGTGTTTCTTTGCATTGCATTTGCATTGGTGCGCCCAGGACACCGTGTTTGCCATCTGCTATTCTTGAACGGTTTGCCGGAGGCTTGTCTTATCAAGACATGACCATAAGGCTGGCCGGTTGTAGGCTCTGCCAGTATGGGAACACAAACCCCGGTTTTACCGGGGCACCCTTTTGACCATTCGACCTAGTGCATATTCAGAATCTATAGTGACCATTCTAAGCTAGGACAGGTTGCTTACCCGATTTAGGTTGTTTGAAACCGCTGCGTGCGTAGTGAAACCCTAGCTCTTGACAAAATAGGACAGGGAAACCCTACCCCAACATAGGGTTGTTTTGGCTCTCACTTGCTTGCTATGTGCTTTTAGAGTGCGTCTCTACAGGAATGCATGTATCAGTTTGCAAGTCTGGGTATCAGGCCTGGGGGCATCAGAATGTGAAGAATCAGTTTTACCCAAGGGTATCAAATTTGAGGCAGAATTTCAGGGGTAGAATTCAGTAGAGGGCATAGTCATCCTACTATGCTCGTATCTGTTTTGGCACTACAACAAAATGGTACTTTAATGACAAAATCAATTCGTCTCCAATAGTGAAATTTTCGTCACCAAATTGATCCGTGACGAAATAATTTCGTCACCACGTTCGTCATCAATTCGTCGTCACTAAAAGTACCTGATGACGAAAATTTATTTTGTCACCTATTATTGGTATTTGGTGACGAAATATTTCGTCACTAAATGTTAAATATTTTGTCACTTATAACGTCCATTTTGTCACTAAAATTAAATAAAATTTTATTATATTTGTTTTGAGTGACAAAATATTTCGTCATTAAAAATAGCGATAAAATTTTTAATGACAAAAATATCGTCACCAAAAGATGAAAAAAAAAGACCCTTCGGTGACGAAAACTTTTGTCAACAAATATTTTAATTTAGTGATGAAATAGTGAATATGTGTGACGAAATTATTTATTGGGATTAGAAAGTTTTAGTGTCAATTTTTTTTCGTCGCCAATAATAAATAAATTTTAAAAATTGAGAGGAGAGTTATATTTGAAATTTATATGTTTTTTTCAATAAAAAATACCTGTACATTTTAATAATCTATTAAATAAAATATTTAATACAAAATAATATAAAATTAAACTGTTCATTATCATAAAACAACCCAAGCAAAATACATGTCTCATAATATCAAGAAATTAATATATAACATCCAAACTATAACATCTATTCTAGTAAAATCAAAAACTTCAACACAATCAAGATAACTTGTGCATTTTAATAACCTGCTGAATATAATATCCATTACAAATCATTACAAAAACCAGTTCATTTGGTAACATCAACAAAAACCTGTTCATTTTAATCTATTCAATAAAATATCAACAAAAAAATAAGATCCATCACAATATAATCATAACCCACAACAACATAGTTAAAATACATGTTTGGTAATGTCAACAAAAACTCTTGCTATGCAGGTTACCAAATTCGTTCATCTCCAATCTGCCATTTAAAAAATAAAAAATAAAAAAAACAACAACAAAAGGTTAAGATAACCATTCACTAAACATGTTAATATGCAACCTAAAGGAGAAAAAATAAAAATTTTGTTAACATACACAATTAGGCGTAACAACAACCAACTGTGATATATACATCTTTCAACATAAGACAAGTCTTACTACAATGGGCACATCACATCGGACATAAAGTTTAAACTACTAAACCAAATTATTCTAAAATATGTATTATAAATGGGGCACTCATGTCACAATTCAGACACCTACTAGTTCATATTACTTATGCCTATCAAGCTTTGAAATATAATTAAACTAAACTGAAAATTTGGGTGTTGAAAAGCATAACAACTCTAGCATTGCTAATTAAATAAGGCATGGCTCAACCGGTTGTATTAGAAGCAAACACCACCACCTTCCTTATTTCCATTTTATTTTAATGAACAGTTTCCTACTGGAGTAAAAATGAAATGATTTTTTCACAGCAATTACAAAAAGTTCTTCCTCATTGTTCAGATCTAAATACTAACTGATTCTAAACAAAGACAAAAAGAAGTAAGCATCATATGAATGGAAAGATGATAGACAATAGTATTCACAATTTATGGCCTTATCCAGTCACCATAAATAGGCATAACTTCGAGTATTCAGACAGCAAACTTGAGCCAATTTCCTAGAGGCTTATCCAACTTGAGGATGCCTTTTTATATTCAAGTGATATACGACAAAATGTGAATCCTCTTGAAATTAACAATTAGCATAATTAATTTCACCAAAAAAATAAATTGTTGAAACTAATGCAGGTCAGTATCCAATATATTCAAGCTTACATTGAGATGAGCATTCTACATACGAAGCCTTAGTAAAAACAAACCCAAAAAGGAGGATTATGAAGAGGACATGGTTTTTTTGACCTGCATTAAAAGGATATCAATGTCACATCCACAAAGACAGCAAGACCCATTGCTGTACCAAATCCAAGACTAGTTTAATAAGAACGAAAAACACAACAGTTTTTGTTGTCTGAAGTAGTTAAAAATGTAAAGAACTATAACCCGCATGTTGTCATTACCTATATAGTTTCCAAAAGTAGGACAATGATGGTCGAACCCCTTTACATATGCCTTGCAGTGCCTACAATAACTGAGTCTCTGAAGTGGAATAGAATTCTGTGATAGCATAAATACTGAAGACTTCAGGATACATAAGATTTCAATGATAAAGAAGTAAATGCAGTGCTAAGATTTTGTGGCTAAACAGAAATTTAACATGGATAGAAAGCTGAGATATTTTCAATCAATAATGATTTTCTATGATGAAACGCAACAGAATTTAAGATAGTTCAACACATATTGCCACCAGATTACGTTTAAAGCCTTTGGGTTTTCACTATGGAATCCAGATTCCAAAAAATCAAATACTAGAAATCCAGGATCATTGTAAGCTATGAAATATAGACCCGATAATTAAAGTTTCAGTTGATATTCATAGTTCCTTGCAATCACATCTGACTACCTAGTATGTATTAAATCAAGATAATATTTGAGAAGCAAAACATGAAACAAAACTAGCAAAGCTACCAAAGCCAATTTTGAAAACTAAAATTCAAAGGATAAATTAAATGTGATCGCAAAACTCAGTGGTATTTAATGCTGTAACCGATGAAATCACCAGAATCAGCTTACTTCTTCAGCAACAAACTCATAGGGAATGTCATGAGTTGAAGGCACCAGTTCCTGCTCCAGAAGATAATTTCAATATCTGTGTTGAGTATAACGTCTAGACCAATCACAAGCATAGAGAACTCGGCATTGAGTATAACGTCTAGAAAAGGTGAAATGACTGAAAAAAAGATAATTTTTTTAAGGATGTCAGGATTCCATACAAGTCACAATTTGGAAAAAGTAGTAAGCATCATATGAATGGAAAGATGATAGACAATAGTATTCACAATTTATGACCTTATCCAGTCACAATAAATAGGCATAACTTCGAGTATTTAGACAGCAAACTTAAGCCAATTTCCTAGAGGCTTATCCAACTTGAGGATGACTTTTTATATTCAAGTGATATACAAATAACATAAATTATTCAAACAACAAACTTAAGCCAATTATGCCCTAAATTAAATCATTACAGCATATAACGTCAAACTCAAAAGCACAAGAAGTGGGGTTCAGTGAACGTCGTGAAGAGAAAATAGAAGCAAGAAGACAAGTCCAGATACCACAGTTGCTGAAACTGGTGCAAAATTTTCAGGTGAAATTATCATTGCAATGCTTGCAAATAATTACACTACAAAAACCATAGAATAATTTTAAAAAATTATAGGGTAAATTACACTTACCTCCCCTGAGGTTTCTGACAAATACAGGGACCTCTCCTGTAGTTTCAATAATTACAGTAACCCCCCTTACTTTACCTGACATTGTACAAATTCCCCCAATCCGTCAATTATACACAAACGACGTTACTTTTGTATACAAAATGACCATATTACCCTTTTATTTAAGTGTAAAAAGACGAAAATACCCTTTGATTGTAGTGTTCAACTTTTATTTTTATTTTTATTTTTTGTTCACTCTTGTCTCATCAAATCGAAACACCAGAGAAAGAGAGAGAGAGAGAGAGAGAGAGAAAGAGTGAAGCTCACAGGAGCTCGCAGGTGCCGCTCCTTCCGCCGTCTGTCTTCTTCCTTCCGTCGCCACCATCTTTCCTTCTCTTTTTCTTCTGCCGTCCACCGCCCGCCGCTCGCTTTTCCTCTCCTCCTCATCTTCTTCGTCTTACCCTAGCCCTAGATATATGGTTTTGAGAGCGATGGTGGACGATGATGGCAGAAGATCCATCAATGATTTCATAGAAGCAGAGAAGTTGTGTATTTGTATCTTTTTTTGCTAATTTAGTGTAAGAAAGTTGAAAATTTTGCTTTAGATCATTTGGGTGTAGATTCCAAACATCACTAATTAGTGTAAGAAAGTTCAATTTTTTGCTTTAGATTAGTTAATGTAGATCTAGAATGTGCTCTGTAACGTTTGATTTTTGAAATCCAAACAGACAGCGAAATATATACGTATAAATATATGTTGGGTTTCAATTCTTTGCTAAAAATCCAAACAAGTGTATATGTATATATGTAAAATATATGTATTTATATAAACATACATCTGGTAGACAAATTGTTCCAATGTTTATATATTTGTATATATATATATATATATATGTTAGAAGAAAAAAAATTATTCCCATGTTTGAATTTAGAAATTAATTTAATTGGATTTTATTTTCTTTGCTAGAAATCAAAATATATTTTCATGGGTTTCAATTCTTTGCTGAAAATCTAAACAAGTGTATATGTATATATATAAAAATATATGTATATATATAAACATACTTTTGGTAAACAAATTGTTCCCATGTTTATATATTTGTATATATATACATATATCTGTCAATATATTTGTATGTATATATATCTGTTAGAAGAAAAAAAAATTCTTCACATGTTTGAATGTGTGTATATATATACATATATCTGTTAAATAGATTTAGAAATTAATTTAATTGGATTTTATTTTCTTTGCTAGAAATCAAAATATGTTTTCATGTGTTTATATACATGTATCTATTCTGTGGCTGTTCTTTGCTAGAATTGTGGATGTTCTTCTTTACATGAAAACATAATTAATCTATTCATGTGTAATAAAGTTGTTCTTTAGATAAAGGTTTCGTGTGTTTGAACAAATAAAGTTGTTCAAAAAATGTTTTCGTCTGTTTAAACAAAATTCCTTGTGGTTTTCTTTAGATAATTACACAAATGATAGTACAGATTCCATCTCTCTCTGGTTTTCTCAACAAGATACTTGAGGGCATTATAGACATTTCAACGTATATCTTTGATGACATCAGCAGTTTCTGTTAGTTTTGTGAACGGAAGTCAAAAAATGGGGGAATCTGTATAATGTCAGGTAAAGTAGGGGAGGTTACCGTAATTATTCAAACCACAGGGGAGGTCCCTGTATTTGTCAGAAACCTCAGGGGAGGTAAATGTAATTTACCCAAAATTATATCCCAATTCTAGAATTTCATCAAAGAGAACAGAGTGAACACTCGGCCAAACAAAGTTACTCCAAAACCAACCACTGAAATCTTTCAACTTTCTTCAAAAGAAGATCCCCAACTGATGAAGAATAGTGATTTTGCATTTATCTCATGAAATTGGGAGATAAACACGGGTCTTCACAAACAAGTGCTTTCCCATAAATAGAATAGAGGTCGGTAAGAAACTCAGTCTCACCAACAAAGCACGGAAAAGCATTCCTTTCTTGATTTCAATACAAAGATAGGGGACGAGTTTCGGGTTTGGCACATAGGAAGCTAACTACACACACAACACAGTAATTGAACAAGCAAGCATTCATTGTGATATATATCTCTACCAAATAACATAATTAAATTGGATTTAATTTTGCCGTAATTAAATTGGATATATTCAGACACAAATAACAAGGCAAGCAAAGCTACTAACTTTCTTGAATTTGTAAGTCTCAAGTAAGGCAGAACTAGTGTCTGTTTAAAGAAATCAATAACATGTTTGTATGAATTCATAACATAGATGTAAATAAACTAATTAAATTGGACATCAACAATAGTCTTGGCAGTAATTGAAACCTTCATAGATACATACTAGTGACACCAAAATAGAAGCCATCAAAAAATATATATATATATATATTTAACAACATCAATTCCAAAAACAATTGAAGTTAAGGGACTTGGTAAATTGACATTATTAAGTCCCATTTAAACATTCATAACAAGCATCCAAGTTAAAAATTAAACCCCAAATTAAAAAGCCCCAAATTTTGAAATTGAAAAACCGTAAACCCTAATTTTCAAATTGAAAAGCCTCAAATCAAAACTCAAAACCCTAATATCTAAACATGCACCTGAAATTGGACGGTGGGAAGGAGAGGTGTGAGAGCTCCGGTCGGAGGGAGAGGTGAGACGACTCCGTTTGCTTCGTTCGCGGGTCTTCGTCGACAGGAGGGAGAAGCGAAAACGAACCGGGCTGCGAAGGAGGTAACTCCGAAGGACTGCTCGAGCGACGCAATGGCTGTCACGAGCGAAGCAATGGTTGTTGCTCCAAAGGACTGCTCTTCTCTCCGTCTGTCTACCCTCTATCTCTTCTCTCTCTCACACACACATCTCCCTGCTAGTTCTCTATTTTTCCCTTTTATTGTTTTTGTTTTTTTTTTTTTTTTGTTTTTTTTGTTTTTTTTTTTTTTTGAGATAGGGAGTAGAAATTTAGGCAAGAGAAAATTTTAATTTATGAAAAATTTTGGAGGGCTTGTTTCAAATATTGGAAAGAAATTTGAGACAAAATTTTGTAATAAAAATTGGTTTTAATTTATATATTTTTTTAAGTTTTATTATTGATGTTTGTAATTTTACCTTTATTAAAGTTTAATTAATATTTTGAATGAAAATAAATAAATTTAAGAAATTTTATGATTTTAATCAATAAATAATAATTCTATTAAAAAATAATAATTATTATATTCTTAATAATTTATTATTTAATTATTAATATTTTTTTGAACTGATTATTAATAATTATTTCAAATCGTAACAAATTTAATTAATATTAGGAAACATTCAAAACTACGTAGTTTTGATACAAAATATGGTAGAGAGAGAGAGAGAGAGAGAGAGAGAGAGAGATACCTGTCGTAGCGAGCGCCGACCGGCGACGTACGGGTTAGCCAGTGCGACAAAGATGGACGGACGGTGTGACGTAGATGAATGGGTGAGGGGGTGACAGAGAGATATAGAAAGTAAAATACATGCATCTAAACAGAGAGATATCTATCTGTTGGTTCAATTTTATTTTTTATTGATTTAAGCATTTGGTGACGAAATTTGATTTTCCTCTCTAAAAATAATACATTTGGAGATGAAATTATTTCCTCTCTAAATTTTTTTTACAATGGTGACGAAAAATTTCGTCTCCAAAATGGCACCAAATCTTCCGCCAACTTTTCCTAGGGTGAGAAACTGTTTTGTGACGAAAAATAAAATTTAGAGACGAATAAATTTTTTGTCACCAATTGTTTTATTTGATTTTAAGCATTTGGTGACGAAATTTGGTTTTCGTCTCTAAAAATAGTACAATTGGAGACGAAATCTTATTTTTCATCAACTAAACCATATATATTTGGAGACGAAATATTTTTTTCGTCATGCGTTTTCGTCACGATAGACCTTTTTTTGTTGTAGTGTGGTGAAGTTAGGCTGAGATGCTGGCATGTTTTCTCTTTTGCTAGGTAGCTCTGAGACCCATAGCTTCAGAAGGCTCTGATATCCCCGCATGTACATTGAACTAGTGCTGATTATGACACTTTGTTAGGTCATGAGATTCAATTCAAGGGCAACCAGTGTTCTTTCGCTAAGGCAAGGGCAGAAGGGCCAGACAGGGCTCATTGCGTTCATTGATCCGAACGTCACCAGTCACATCATCAGCAGACCCGTAGATGGCACAGGGTTCGGCAAAGACATTTGTGGCGTGATAGCAGCGTTAAATCAGGGAACTGCCATGCAGGCTGGACCGTATTAAACGCAAGTGCCCATCTGGGGCCATTGTAGACCCCTTTTTGACTGCCTTATAAGAACTTGCGACGCGTCACTGATGGTCTTACATGATAGAGAAAGGTGTGCAGGGGGAAAGTTCAGTTTCTTCTGCAAGAGAGAGTCAAAGGATCAACTTCATACCCCTTTTTGGACCAAAACAATCTTGATCAAAAGATTTTAGCCGTAAAACCCTCTTTTTCAAAATGTTTTTGAAATAAAGTTTTTACGATGTTCCGAGGCTCGCATTTTGTCAAATGTTGCGCTTTTCGATAAAGCGAGCAACAAAAAAGTGGAAATGAATGAAAGGGAGATGAAATCTTTGCAAAAAATTTCAAAACACCTTGCTTAGGGGTTTGAAGTTGAAGAAAAGAGGAGAAGAGGGAAGAAATCCAGTTGGGGGAGAAAATGGGCATGAACCGTTAAGAAAGAGTCGAGCAGCCCTCGCCAAATCGGGCCTATTCATTTGCATACTTGGAATCAAGCTATGAGGCCACCACCGTTTGAAATAATACTTCCGGGGCTTCATTTTTCACTCAAGAATCTCCTAAATCCAATTCCAGACGGGGGAGATATAGTTGATTAAAGTAGGGCATCACTCCGGTTGGACCGAAATCTGCGCGGCTTCACCAAAAAGGACATAACTTTTTCCACATGAGGAATTTTAATGCAAGGTTTGCGCCATTGGAAATATAACTTCCGGGGCTTCAATTTGGACACTTTAACGGCCACCATTAGACTTCCCAATCACCCACCGGCCACTTTTCTTTCCGGCAGTCCATTTTTTTTGTCCTGAAAGTAGCAGGCCGGCCAGAAAATCTAGCAGGCCGGCCACCTAGCTGGTGAAATAAATTTTTTGCCCTTTCTAGCTAGCCGGCCATAGCCCCCTCCCAAGTGTGTCCTAGAAGTGAATTTTGTTTTCCTCTAGGCCTTATGTCCAAGGGTTTGGCCTTTTGGGGGGAAACTTGAATTGTTTCCCCCCCCATTTTTCCCCCTCTTTTCCACCCTTTTTGTCTATATAACCAGCACTCCTAGCTGGTTTTGGGAGGTTAGAAATTTTTCCCTTTGAGCTCCCTTGTTGTATCTCTCTCCCTCTATACTTCCAAGCTCAAAACCTCTCAAGTCCAACACTCATTTCTTCATCAACCCATAGCCCCACCCTTCCATCCTCCATTCCAGCAGTTTGAGGTTGTTCTCCAGAGCCTAGGGGTGCAGCATTTTGGTCCAAAAGGCTGCTAAAGTTTGGTCTTCAAGGGTGAGCACAATTTTCTCTCTTTTAAGCTTGTTTTTGTATCCTTTCTAAGCCATACATGCTTGCATATTTGGGCTCCGACCCTAACTGAAAATAGCCTTGTTTTGATGTATTTTTCATGTTTGTTTTAGGGTCCTTCCATGTTTAAGGTCCCTAACTACCACTTGCTTCATTAACCCTCTTGTGTGCCTATTTCTTATGTAGTATTTTTGGCCTACGTGTAAACTGTTTTGAGCTCTGTCATAAACTGTAAAGTTGCTTATTTTGAGCCCTTCTTCAACATTGTTGAAGGGCTCATCACTGTTTGAGGCTTCCATTTTCCACTTGCCTTTGTATCTCCCTTTTGGCTCCATTTTTGCATGATTTGTTATCCTCTTATGCTTCTGTTTTTGGGCTCTGGTCCGAACTATAAATGATATTATTTTGACCCTCTCTTCATGTTTCATTAAGGGTCTTTTACTGTTTGAGGCATCCTTTTTGTACTTTGTGTTGTAGCCCTCTTTTTGGCCTTGTTTTGCATAGTATTTTTAGCATGCTTGTGCACTGTTTTGGGTTTGATCATAAACTGTAAAATGCCATGTTTTGGGTCCCTCTTCAACATTGTTGAAGGTCCCTCTCGTGTTTGAGGCCATCAGCCATGACTTGCTTCTTTATCTCACATTTAGGGCCATTTTTGCATATTGGTTTAGCCCTATTTGTGTTCATTTTTTGGTCTTGATTAAAACTGTAAACATGCTTGTTTTGGGGCTGCCTTGAATCTGTCTTCACACTTCATGTTCAAATGATGCATGTTTTGTATAGCTATAGGCCAATGCATATGCCTAGTTTTGTGTTTCGGGTTCATTTCATGCATCGGGTGCCATGTTTCCATGATTCGGGACTGTTTTGGGTCATATTTTAGGGCTGAAATTTTCATGCTTGTATGCCATATTCCATGCCGTGCCATGTCTTGTTAGAGTGGCATTTTGTGCCTTAGGATCGGTCCTCGGTTTGCGTGCATGTGTGCACGCATTCCGAGTTGTCTCATTTTCATCTAATGGCTACTAATGTGAGCGTGGCTGAGGTCCACTCATGTTGGTGTAAGTCCATCGTGCATTGTGTATGCCATTTCATTTCATAGCATTGTGTATGCCATGCTACCTGTGCGATTCCGTAATCTTATGCCCATTCCATCAGCATTGCTCGCGTGGAAGCACTGCATCATCTCGAACGTTCGTAGCTGACTCGCTGTCTCGTGCAATATTAATGGTTTACCATTGCATGCCTCTCGAGCATGCACAATGATACTACGCAACTATGTGTTTGGGATAGGAGTTAGCCCGAGCACGGGAAACGAGGGACGTTTCGTACTTCGAATGACGGAACGTGTCTCAATTCCCAGTTACCGACACTCCGGATTATCCATGATGGAGTTTAGGTTTCGTTGTGTTTATGTGTGCATTCATTCCATATTGAGTCATGCAAATTGACTCCTCGGTCATCATGCATCGATATGCGTGATTGGTGGCACGAGAATCGAGGACTACACTCCCTGAAGAATAGTCACGCATACATGTGTGAAAATACATTGCCATGCCCCTTTCCTGCTCTCTGTTGCAGCAAATCAAGAATTAGTAGTCTTCCGGGGCTTGGCGCGCTTTCCAAAAAGTATTGCAAAACAGAGACTAATTGGGGCATCACAGTGGATTTCCGTGCAAAGGCGACCCGGACATGCATCATCCATCATTTGAAGAAGAGTCAAGGCAGTCCCTGGCTTGCATGCCAGTTTATTATTTTCTTAGTTAATTTGGTAATTAATTAGGATTTTTGTAATTATTTGGACTGTAATTATTTGGGACTGTATATTATTTATTCGGACCCTCTGCGCGAGGGCACACCTGTAATAAGTGTGCGTGCGTGTGATGTATGTCTTCCAACCCTACGTTTTTCTCTCTTTTATTTACCCGCTTATGATGGTTAGATTAGGGCATGTTTCAATTAGCATACAGTATGACAGCATGTTTGCATTCATTCATCTGTTTTGCATGCACCGGGCTCGGCGCATCATACTAACTGCATTGTATTTTCAATTCCAAGTTGAATACATGTTAGCTGTAGCATTTCATATGCCATGTTTAGAATAGCCGAGCCTGCTATAGTTGCATTTTTGCATGTGTTGCATTAGGCATTTCTGTATAATTAGGATCATGCATGGATTTCTAATTAGCTTTTGTTTTGGCTTGGAGTACTCGGTAAGTTTTATGCTTTAGCATCCTTGCATGCATGTGAGTGACTGCCATGAACAGCATGCTTACCATGAGGCTATGTGCTTATGTGATATAACTGTCTGAATGCCT